GTCTGCGGGAGGGCGCGGGGGCACCGTGGCACCGGGACCCCCGAAAACCCCGGGACACCCCAAAAACCACCGGGACCCCCCCGGGACACCCGAAACCACCGGGATCCCACCGGAACCCCCGAAAAAACCCGGGACCCCCCCAGGACAACCCGAAAACCACCGGAGGGCACCGGGGCACTGTGGCACCGGGACCCTTGAAAACCCCGGGATCCCACCGGAACCCCCAAAATCCACCGGGACCCATTAAAAACCACCGGGACCCCCCCAGGGACACCCACCGTACACGGTGGGGGGAGGGACGGTGACACCGGGACCCCCACCGACTACCGGGGGGCACCGGACGGTGACACCGGGACCCTACCGACCACGGGACAGTGACACCGGGACCCCCACCGACTACCGGGGGGCACCGGACGGTGACACCGGGACCCCCACCGATCACCGGACGCTGACACCGGGACCCCACCGACCACTGGACAGTGACACCGGGACCCCACCGACCACCGGGGGGCACCGGAGGGTGACACCGGGACCCCCACCGATCACCGGACGGTGACACCGGGACCCCCACCGACCACCAGACGGTGACACCGGCACCCCACCAACCACCGGGGAGCACCGGACGGTGACACCGGGACCCCACCGACCACTGGACAGTGACACCGGGACCCCACCGATCACCGGGAGGCACCGGACGGTGACACCGGGCCCCCACCGACCACCGGACGGTGACACCGGGACCCCCACCGACCACCGGGGGGCACCGGACGGTGACACCGGGACCCCACCGACCACCGGACAGTGACACCGGGACCCGACCGATCACCGGGGGGCACCGGACGGTGACACCGCGCCCCCACCGATCACCGGGGGGCACCGGAGGGTGACACCGGGACCCCCACCGACCACCGGACGGTGACACCGGGACCCCCACCGGACACCGGACAGTGACACCGGCCCCCCCCTCCCGTTGCCCCGTGGCCCCGCCCCGGCCCCGCCCTCACCGCCGCCGTACACGCCGCCGCTCATGGCGCCTTCAGCACCGGGACAGCGCCGGCCGCGCGGGGGGCGGGGCCTGGCCGCGCCCAATCAGCGCCCGCCGTGCGGCGCGCGCGCCCTCGGCCGCTTAAAGGGGCCGCGGCCCTTTGTTGAACGCGGGGGGCGCGGCCACGCCCCTTTGTGGGCGGGGTTTACACAAAGCCACGCCCACTCACTCTTAAACACACCCCCCCCCTCCATCCTGCGGGGCATTAATTAGCGGTTTGGTTAATTAAAAGCACCAAAATGGCGGATTAAGAGGGGGGGCGGGATGAGCGCTCGCCGTAAATAAAAAACCCAAAATTAAATAAAAAACGCCGGGGAGGGAGGGGGCGTGTCCCCCGGAAAGGGGCGTGGCTAACGGGAGGCGTGGCCTCGCGGCGGAAGCGGCGGCGGCGCGGGACGCGCGAGGTG